GGTGCCCAGAGGAGGAATGAGGAGGAGGAGGAGGAGGAGGAGGAGGAGGAGGAGGAGGAGGAGGAGGAGGAGGAGGAGGAGGAGGAGAAGATGATGGAGCTGCGGGGTGGAGGAGGACAGACGGAGGCAAGAGAAGGATGGAGGAGGAGGAGGAGGAGGAGGAGGAGGAGGAGGAACCTCATCCTCACCCTCGCCAACAAGCGCACGCACCTTCTTCTATATACAGCAACTCCCGATCAACCGCAGAGCGGCCGGCTAGTAAGAATAATACTAATATATTACTAATAACCAGTTTCTAATACTACTACTAATACTAATACTAATACTAATACTAATACTAATACTAATACTAATACTAATACTACTACTGATAATAAATGTGAAAGCGCGCGCTCGTGGCGCACTTCTCACTGAAAGGGGGGCCCCAACTTCAAGCTGCCCTCGCCCTCCCCCCCTTTCGTGTGTGTGTGGATCGTTTAGCTGGAGGGGGACTAGCACAGGGGGGGGGGGCTGGGAAGCTCCCCCTCTGCCCCCCTTTCGGGGAACAACTTGGGCCATTTCCTGGTGTGCTTCCTGGGAAGTCGCCGCGCAGCGCGCGGAGCGAAAACAAAAACAGGGTTTCCTGACGAAAAGCACTCGGTTTCTTCATGCGCGTCCCCAGTGTATAGCGTTCCGCACTTTGTTTTCCAACGTTTTCGGGGGCGACCCCGTTCGAGACGTCCGCGAAAGGTGCGGCCGCGAGCTGAGCCGCTTCCCCGCGCCACCGGGGAGTGGTCCACGCTTGCGGCGAACGGCCCAGTCTAAGTCGGGCCTGTCCCTCTACAGGAGGAATATTCAAAAGTAGTCTTAAAATGGTTACGGGAAGACTTTTGGACCGTGTTTGAGCATTCTTTGAGCATTTGTTCATGCTTTTTCATTTTTCATCCAAAATCCGCCCGTAGGAGGACACGCCCGACCTAAATCCAGTCCACCAGGAATTGACCCGACAGATCCACCCTCTCCCCGGGCGCGCGCTCCACCGCGACGGCCCCCGCCCCCTCGCTCGCCGCGCGGGCGCCCTCTGCCGTCGCAGCCCGAGCCCGCCCCCCGCCCGGCGCGCCCGCGCCGCAGACCCATGGGCGTCGACACGGGGCCCCAGGACGCCGCGGACGGCGCCCTGGCCCAGTATCGTCTAACCGATCCCCATCCCCATCCCCATCCCCACCATCCCACCACCCCAGTTGGGGATATGCCCCATCGAAGCCCGAAGGGAACCGCCTCTATCCCCATCTCGGGGGTAAACCGGCCAGTAGGGCCTAGCCTACGCTGGTGGGGATGGGGATCGGTTGAACGATGCTCACTGGCGGTGGCAGCGGCGGCCGAAGCCCCTCGCCACTGCCCCTCCCGCGCGGACCTCAAGCGTTTTTGGACGTCAGGTCCTCCAGGCTCCTCTGGAGGCCTCCAGAGACAGCTGGAGCACCCTTGCGCTCCCGCCTTCCCCGCGACCCGAGTGTTTTTGTTTGTTTTCTTTGTTTGACGTCGGAGTCCTCCGGGCACCTCCGGAGGCCTCCAGGGACCTGGAGGACGCCTGCGCGCCCGCTTCCCACGCACCCCCAGCCCTCCCCTGCCCCGCGGCAGGGCAGGGGATGGATTGGGGGGGAGCGTGGAGCCGCAGGGGGAGAGGCGGGGAACCCCGCCACTCCCCCTGCCCCTCATCGTTCCCCCCCTCCCCTCCCCGCCCCCCCAGGTTCCCCGGACCTCGCCCTGTTGCAGCCCAGACAGCACGCAGGGGCCGCCAGGATCTTGCCGAGGTCGATCATTAAGGGCAAGCCCCCACAGCCTCAGGACCACCCGCCTACATATCCGAGGCGTGCCACTCTAGCACTCTGCTGTGCTCAAGGCCTCCGAGATGGGGTCGGAGTAGATGGGGTCCGAGGATCGCGCCGCATCGGCGATGCATCGGCGATGCGGCTCGATGTGAAGCCCGATTTTCTCCACGCCGACGGCGCCGATGCATCGCCGACGTCGCCGATGCATCGCCGATGCATCGGCGATGTATCGCCGATGCATCGCCGATGCGGCGCGATCCTCCGACCCCATCTACTCCGACCCCATCTGGGAGGCCTCTGTGCGCGAAGCGCAGGCAGCAGCAACGGCCGAGTGAGTTTGGCACGGATCTCGGCAAAACAACTTGGTGCTCTCAGCTGGTGCACACTTCACCGCGAGTGCTGCCAGGGGGCTTTCTCTTCGGACGCTGCATTTTTTCTGACGTGTGCCCCTTCGGCTCCCGCCCCGATCCCCTGAGGCAGGACTTCCAACCAGGATCGTTTCAGCGGCCGTCCCAGAGCTCATAAGCGGCCCCCCTATGCCGAACACGAGGGCCTGGACTTCGGAGGTTTGGATGGGGGGCGGGGCCCGCAAAAGGGCGCCCGTGTGCACAGCCACCGTGCCAGGACACTCCTGGGCTCCAGGATGGCGCATCGGCCCCCCTGGCCTCGGGCAGGGGGGGCGCACGCGCCGCGCCGGTGCCCTGGACGGCCATGGCCCAGGCAGGGCGGTGGTGGTGTGGGAGTTCCGCAGGGCGGGAAGCGTGCCCTGACGAGCGGGCCGACGCCCGGGCGACATCCTTGTAATTCCAGCCCCTTGTTTATCCGTAAGGGCTTCGCCCCCATGCCGCTGGCCCCCCTCTCTTAGAAAGGGACTTGTCAGAGCTGTGTTGGGATGTCCAGACGCTGACGTAAAGCAACGTCGGGACTTCACAAACTGCGGAATTTCTCACAACTACGAATATTGCATAATATGTGAGGCTTTACGGCTTCGGGGGGCGCGAACATTGCGTAAATTACGGGGTGTATGGCTTCGGGGACGCGAGTATCTTATAGTTTACGAAGGCTTATGGCCTCAAGGTCGCAACTATTGCGTACTTTACGAGGTGGGATGGCTTCGGGGACGCGAATATCGTGTAATTGACGCGGGTTCGTGGCCTCCAGGGCGCGAATATCATATAATTTTCTATGGTTTTTGGCCTCGGGGACGTGAATATTTTATGATTTACATGGTTGTATGGTCTCGGGGGCGCGAATATTGTGTAATGTACGAAGCTTGATGGCTTCGGGGGCGCGAGTATTGTGCAATTTTCAAAGGATTATGGCTTCGGGGACGCAAATATTGTATAATTTACGGTGGGTATGGTTTCGGGGACGCGAATATTATTAAGGAGTGTGGCTATGGGGACGCGAATCTAATTTATTATTACGTGTCCCACGCCCCCCAGGAATTCAGACAACGCGATCTGGGCGTGGTAGAAATTAGCCTGGCGCAAGACCCAACAATATGCAACTGTGAATACCGCAAGCATAGATATCATCTTCGCCCGCGCTTCCTATGGGGCCACGAACCGTGTGAGGGGCGTGCCGACATGCGTGGCGGGGCACACAACGCGAGCGAAGACGATTGGTCTGTGTGCGAGAGATTGAGAGCGCGTGAGTCTGATTGTGGATGAGTCTGCGCGCGCGTGAGTCTACGTGCATAAATGTCGACGCCCATGTCGGCGCGCCTCTCACGAGGATCGCGCCCGCTTCCTTCCCGTTATTTTTCTCCCTCTTTGCCCGTGCACGCCCGCGTCCAAGGCTGCGGGCGCGGCGCCGCACGAAGTCCCCGCGACGCGCGCTGGTCGCCCCGAAGGGGTCCCGGCGACGCGAAAGTCGCCGCCATTCGAACTCTGCCACTGGGCCGCCATGCGAGTTCCGCCACGGAGACCTTAGGTGGAGCTCCCTGTGGAGTCACGAAGCGTGTGAGGGATGTGCCAAAATGGGGCGGCGCCACTGGGACCCTAGATGGAGATCCCTATGGGGCCACGAAACGTGTGAGGGGTGTGCCAAAATGGGGCGGCGGCGCCATGCGGACTGCGCCACTGGGACCTTATGTGGAGCTCCTTATGGGGCCACGAAGCGTGTGGGGTGTGTGCCAAAATGGAGCGGCGGCGCCATGCGGGCTGCGCCACTTGGGATCTTAGGTGTAGCTCCCTATGGGGCCACGACACGTGTGAGGGGTGTGCCAAAATTGGGAGGCGGCGCCATGCGGGCTGCGCCACTGGGACGTTAGGTGTAGCTCCCCATGGGGCCGCGAACCGTTGCGCCACTGGGACCTTCGGTGTAGCTCCCTATGGGGCCGCGAAACGTGTGAGGGGTGTACCAAAATGGGGCGGCGGCGCCATGTGGGCTGCGCCACTGGGACCTGAGGTGGAGCTCCCGACGGGGCCATGTAGCGTGTGAGGGGTGTGCCAAAATGGGGCGGCGGGCCATGCGGGCTGCGCCAGTGGGACCTTCGGTGGAGCTCCCTATGGGGCCACGAAGCGTGTGAGGGGCGTGCCAAAATGGGACGGCGGCGCCATGCGGGCTGCGCCGTTGGGACCGTGGGTGGAGCTCCATATGGGGCCAAGAAACGTGTGAGGGGTGTGTACCAAAATGGGGCGGCGGTGCCATGCGGGCTGCGCCACTGGGACCTTAGGTGGGGCTCCTTATGGGGCCACGAAGCGCTGTTTTGGGTGTATGAAACGCATGGAGGAAGGAAGAGGGGGAGGAGGAGGAAGGAAGGAGGAGAACGCGGGGACCGTCTCTTCAAAACGAGGACCCAACACCACAGGATGGTTGGGGAAAAAGCTGATTTGGGGCTCACCCCCTCGCGCGTTCATCAACAACTAGCAGTCAGGAAGCAGAAAGCAGGACTGCATCAAATGAGGAAACTGCAACTGGAACGCGGCGCTGCGATCCTCACACTCGCAGCCTGGTGTCCCCGCAAGCGGGCTGGCGGATTTGCTTGTGTGTTTCAAGATTAGGTTCTTGTCCTTGGAGGTAAGAGTAGGGTGGGGGGGGAAGGGGGGGAAATGAAGGGGGAGGTAGGAGCAGGAGGGAAGGGGGGAGGGAAGGGGGAGGTAGGAGTAGGGGGGGAAAAGGGGGGGGGAAGCGGGGGAGGTAGGAACAGGGGAGCAGGAGGCGCGCCCCACTCCTGCGCAGCTCCAGGCGGCTCCCGCCGATGGGCCGGGCCAGACCGCCGTGGTCCTGTTTTACCGCTACGAGAACCTGGGCCAGCGGAGGTCACCGCGGTCCTCCTCCTGCCCCTCCCCCCTCCTCCTCCTCTTTTTTTCCTCCTCCTCCTCGTCCTCCTCCGCCTCCTCCTCCTCCTCCTACTCCTCCTCCTCCTCCTCCTCCTCCTCCTCCTCCTCCTCCTCCTCCTCCTCCCCCTCCTCCTCCTCCTCCTCCTCCTCCTCCTCCTCCTCTTCCTCCTCCTCCGTGACAATCCCACGCTTACCGGCTGCGCAGAGATGTCAAGCCCTGGGCGTGAATGAGTGATGGGGGGGCGAGAAACCCAGACCCCCTCGCGTCGTGGAAAAAACACGACGGCATGTTTTTCGCTATTTTCGACCTTTGGCGGGCCTTCCTGGCCCTCGGGAACGTCAAACAATTGTTCAATCGCTTCGCTAACTCCGCCGGCCCGTATTGCGTGATCGCTACTGCTTCGGCGCGGGCTCGGGGCCATTTCGGCGCCGCCGGAAGGAGGAAGATGAGGATGGGGAGGGGGAGGGGAGGAGGAGAAGAGGATGAGAAGGAACGGAGGAGGATGAAGATAAATATGAGGAGGAGGAGGAGGAAGAGAAAAGGGCGGAGGAGGAAGCCTCTCGATGGCATCTTGCGGCGCTCTTGGGGTCAAACAGGGCCGTCGTCCAGATGCTTCTTTGGGAGGCCCTGGGGTCTGTTGAGAGGCCGTTCGGGGGCGCCTGGGAGACATTTTTGAAGCCTTGTAGGGCCTCTTTGGACTCCAAAGTTTGGAGCCTCCTTGGAGCCTCCTGGGGTCTCTTGGGGGCCTCTTGGCAGCATCTTGGGCCATCTTGGGGGCCTATCGGTGCCTCCTGGGGCCCTCTTGGGGCGGAAGGCTTGAGGTTTCGGTTCGTGGCCGTATTGGGGCCTTTTTGGGCCGTTTTGGAGCCCTGTTGGGAGCCGCTTGGCCCGTTTTGGGGCGATTTTGGGAGCCTCTTGGGCCGTCGTGGTCGATGTGAAGACCCAAGAGGCGAATATGTTAAAGTCATACGTTTTCCCCGGGGAATGGGGAGATTGTTGCTTTTTGGGGCCTCGTGGGGCGCCTCTTGGAGGCCTCTGGGAACGTCTTAGCGGCATCTTGGGCCGTCTGGATGTCATCTTGGGCGTGTTGGCTCGATTTTTCGGCGCCTCTTGGCCCTCTTGGATCGTCTTGGGGGCCCCATGGGATCCTCTTGGCTCGTTGTGAGGTCCTCCGTTGCCCCCCGTGGCGCTTTCAACCCGGGGTTGTCCCGGGCCCGGGGGGGGGGGTCAAACTCGCGGTTTGGGGTCCCTTGGGGGTGATTATGGGGGGGAACAATCTCTCACGCCTAGAGACCTACAAGAGGTCGGCGGATTTGGAGGCAAAGTGTATTACGCATAGTTTGTTGACAATGATGGTCGGCCTGCGCGCAGCGAGCAATATGCTGACACCCGTGCCGTCCCTGCCAAAAATCAAAGGGCGCCCGCGCATGCTTCAGATTTGGAGGCAAAGTGTATTGTGTATGGTTTTGCTGACAGGGATAATCGGGGGGGCGCATGGGTCTGGGTTGGCTGCTGGTCGGGTGGGGGAGGGGGGTGCTTATTACTAGGGAACGCTGGTAAACTCTTCCTCCGAGCAGGGGAAGGAGGGGTTCTGGAAGAGAGAAGAAAATTAAGGACCGACCGCAACGCCGTTTGGCTTGGTCTGGGCCCTCGTTCCGTTTTTCGTTTCGTTTTTCGTTTTTGTCCCGTCGTGCTTTCGTTTTTTTTCGTTGTAGGCGCGCTTGTTTTCTCGGAGCACAGCTCGTGGGAGCGCACCCTTCGCCCAGAGGGCCAGTGAGCGCGCCATCCCGGGCGGCCCAGGCGTGCAGCTTCCTGCGGCCGGCCCGAGGAGGGAGTGCCAGACGGACGAGTTACGACCAGCTATGATATTGACGACCGACATGTGCCTGATTCAGAGATAGTGACGACGACGTTGACGACGACGACGACGACGACGACGATGACGATGACGATGACGATGACGATGACGATGACGATGATGATGATGATGATGATGATGATGATGATGATGATGATGATGATAGTTCTGGTGGTGATGCAGATGATGATGATGATGATGATGATGATGATGATGATGATGATGATGATGATGATGATGATGATGATGATGATGGTGATGGTGATGCTGATGCTGATGGTGATGCTGATGCTGATGGTGATGGTGGTGATGGTGATGATGTTGATGCTGATGCTGATGATGCTGATGCTGATGATGATGACGACGACGATGATGATGATGATGATGATGATGATGATGATGATGATGATGATGATGATGATGGTCATGATGATGGTCATGGTGATGATGACGATGATGATGATGATGATGATCATGATCATGATCATGATCATGATGCTGATGCTGATGATGCTGATGCTGATGCTATAACGATGAAACTGTTGATGGTGGTAGTGGTGATGATAGTCGTCATTGTCGTCATCACCGTCATCATCATCATCATCGTCGTCGTCATCATCACAATCATCACAACGATGTGGATATCCTCCAGATGGGGAGACGGTCTGCGTAGGTCGCCGAAGTGGCCTGGAGGCCCCGGGGCCCAACTGTTTTGGGCCCATCTTCATTTCTCATCGAGCGCGTTCTACTACTCGCGAATTGCCTACTCACAAACGGCCGAACAAAACTTCATGCGTGCCTCGATGTGAGTCGTAGATCTCTCGCGGTGGATCCAGGCCATTTGCGAATAGTTACGTTGCGAGTCGTGGAGCGCGTTAGTCCAAGTTTCTTTTGGGGCAATCGCAGTCGTCTTGCAGGCCATCTTGGCCGTCTTGGAGGTCATCTGCAGGCCGTCTCGAGGGACCAAAGCGTCCGAGCTCTGAGATCTGACGTTGCCAACAAAAATACGACATCGCCAAAAATTCCGCCTGGACCTCTGGACCCCATACTTCTGCATTTTTTTCGAGCCGGATCGATCTACGAGGGTCCCATGGCCCGAAACGAAGCGAAAACGCCCGTTGTGAAAAAAATGCAACGCCAGGATCTCAGAGAGAGCACATCGACCTCGCCAGCCGAGGTCCCAGGAGCTCGCCGCGCAGCAGCGCGCCCTCGGCGAGCGGCTCCGCCTCGTGGGCCGCGTGCTCGTGGCGGGCGAGGGCATCAACGGCACTGTCCAGGGCAGAGCCGAAGCCGTCGCCGAGTACGAGGCCGCCGTGGAGACCACGCTGGGGGTTGGCATCGACTGGAAGAGGAGCACCGCTGGCGCCGAGGCCCGAAGAGGAAGAAGAAATGCCATAAGCATAAGCTTTTGGCGATACGTCGGGCCTGTCCCTCCACAGGAGGCATATTCAGAGTAGTTCAGAAATAGTCTGGGGACGATGTTTTGACTATGTTTGGTAGGTTCGAGCATTTTTCGACTCATTGTTTGATTTGTCGTCCAAAATCTGCCTGTAGGAGGACATGCCCGACCTAAACAGAAACTTTTTGGCGCTCCGCTCGGATTTCTCGGATCCGCGCTGGGGCCCCTCTGGTGGCGCCTCCTGCGCCGCCCCTGGCGCGCTCCGCGCGCCAGGGAGGGGGGCCCAGCGCAGATCCAAGAAGTCCGCGCAGAGCGCCAAAAGTTTTTATGCTTACACCGTTTTGTCTTCCTCTGGAGGCGCTTTTCCCGGACTTCGCCGTAAAGGAGGTCGCCGAGCTGGTCAGCTTCGGCCTCCCGGACATGGAACGCCAGAACGTTTCATGGAGCGTCAGCTTTCGGACACCCGAGGATTGCCGCTCTAGCGGCGCCGGACTTCCTCTCCCCGCGCTACTGGCCAGCGCGCCTCGCGCTCCAGGGAGAGGGCGGTGCACGCAGAGGATCAGCGCCGGCGGAGAAGCCGTCCGCCGTCCGCGGACGTCCGACGGCTCACGTTTACGCATGTGGCTCTCCCTGGTGCTCCCATAGGACAGGGACAGCCGCCCCGTGGACGTGCGCGCCGAGGCGGGCACGCGGCTGTCGCCAGAGGAATTCCACCGAGTCCTCGGCGAGACGCCCTCGGACGACCTCCGCGTGGTCGACGTGCGCAACACCTTTGAGCACGAGGTCGGCCACTTCGAGGGCGCCATCGACCCCGGAATGACCCACACGGCGCAGTGGCCACGCTTCGTGAACAGCAACCTGGAGGAGCTCCGGGGCCGAAAGGTGCTGCTGTACTGCACCGGCGGCATCCGCTGCGAGAAGGCGTCTGCCTACCTCTGCAGGCGGCTCCGGGAGACGGCGCCAGCGCCCGACTCCGCCGACTCTGGCAGCGTCGCCGCCCCTGCTGGCGGCGAGCCCTCCGTCTGCCAGCTCGAGGGGGGGATCCACAGGTACCAGCCACGCGCAGAGGGGGGTAAGGAGGAGGCTGCTTCTTGGAAGGCGCGGGCCTTGTCTGTAGATGTAGGGCCAGCGCCTTCTAAGAAGCAGCCTCCTCCTAAGAAGCCTTCCCCCCTCCCCCCCCCTCCCCCCATACGCCCCTCCGCGCGCAGCCACAAGGTACTTGGAGGCCTTCCCGGACGGGGGTCGCTTCCGTGGTGCCAACTTCGTCTTTGACCGCCGCGGCCAGACGCGCTCGGACGGCGACGGCTGCTGCGCCGGCGCCACGGCGGTCGGCCGCTGCTCCGAGTGCGGCGCCGCCTGGGAGCGCCACCACGGCGGGCGGGTGTGCTGCGTGTGCCGTGCGCTGGTCCTCCTCCTCCTCTCCCCCTCCCTCCTCCTCCTCCTCCTCCTCCTCCTCCTCCTCCTCCTCCTCCTCCTCCTCGTCCCTCCTCCTCCTCCTCCTCCTTCTCCTCGCTCCTCGTCCTCCTCGTCCTCCTCCTCCACGCCTCTCCTCCTCCTCCTCCTCTCCTCCTCCTCCTCCTCCTCCTCCCCCTCCTCCTCCTCCTCCTCCTCCTCCTTCTCCTTCTCCTCCTCCTCCTCCTCCTCCTCCTCCTCCTCGTCCTCCTCCTCTCCTCCTCCTCCTCCTCTCCTCCTCTCCTCCTCCTCCTCCTCCTCCTCCTCCTCCTCCTCCTCCTCCTCCTCCTCCTCCTCTCCCCTCCTCTCTCCTCCCTCCTCCCTCCTCCCTCCTCCTCCTCCTCCTCCCTCCTCCATCCTCCTCCCTCTCCTCCTCCCTCCTCCTCCTCCCTCTCCTCCCTCCTCCCTCCCTCCTCCTCCTCCTCCTCCTCCTCCCTCCTCCCTCCTCCCTCCTCCCTCCTCCCTCCTCCTCCTCCTCCTCCTCCTCCTCCTCCTTCTCCTCCGCCTCCTCCTCCTCCTCCTCCTCCTCCTCCTCCTCCTCCTCCTCCTCCCTCCTCCCGCCTCCCTCCTCCCTCCTCCCTCCTCCCTCCTCCTCCCTCCTCCCTCCTCCTTCCTCCTCGCTCTTCCTCCTCTTCCATTCCTTCTCCTCATAGATACTGTTCCTCGTCGCGCCCCGAGGCTAGTTTTTTGGGGCGGGCCTGGCGTTTCGCCTGAGATCTCTTCACCATGTATAATTCTGAAGCTTAAAACGTGGCGACAGTTTCACAGATGGAGGGCGGGTCGTTTTGAACATGTGGCTCTCGCTTTAGCGCCGCGCACACTCGCTTTAAATTTTTGCAAGAGCTTCGTGGATTGAGGGCGGTTCCTTTTCAACATGTGGTTCTCGCCTTAGCGCCGCGCATATTCGTTTTCAACATTCGCAAGAGTTTCACATATTGAGGCCGGGTCGTTTTCAAATTGTGGTTCTCGCCTTAGGGCCGCGCACATTCGTTCAAAACATATAAGAGTTTCACGGATTGAGGGCGGCTCGTTTTCAACATTTGGCTCTCGCCTTAGCGCCGCGCACATTCGATTTCAACATTTGCATGAGTTTCACGGATTCCCATGATCACGTACCAGAAATGGTGTTTTGGAAGATTTTGGATTATGCGGGTGCAACAGTTATGTTGATTCGCGGTGTTGAAATCCCCCAAATGGCGCTCTGTCACGATTCCAGATCGTCAAGACGCAGCAGTCAGGTTGATATGTGGCGTTGAAATGCCGGGAACAATGTTTTGGCATGTTTCAGGATGTTCAAACGGTTGCCTTCAGCGAGGCAGTTCCCTCAATGGAAATGTACCGTTGGGGGGCCCATGAAAAGTGAGCTTGGAGGGAGGGCCAACTCCAATATCGATGATGACTCTTGGTTTTACACTGGTCCTCCTCCTCATCCTCCTCCTTCTCCCTTCTCCCTCCTCCCTCCTCCCTCCCTCCTCCCTTCTCCCTTCCTCCTCATCCTCCCTCCTCCTCCCTCCTCCCTCCTCCCTCCTCCCTCCTCCCCCCGCCTCCTCCTCCTCCTCCTCCTCATCCTCCTTCCTCCTCCTCCTCCTTCTCCTCCTACCTCCTCCTCCTCCTCTCCTCCTCTCCTCTCTTCCTCCTCTCTCCTCCTCCTCCCCCTCCTCCCCCCCCGCCTCCTCCTCTCCTCCTCATCCTCCTTCCTCCTCCTCCTCCTTCTCCTCCTAACTCCTCCTCCTCCTCCTCCTCCTCTCTCTCCTCCTCTCTCTCTCTCCTCCTCCTCCTCCTCCTCCTCCTCCTCCTCCTCCTCCTCCTCCTCCTCCTCCTCCTCCTCCTCCTCCTCCTCCTCCTCCTCTTCCTTCTCCTCCTCCCTCCTCCTCCTCACCTCCTCCTCACCTCCTCCTCCTTCTCCTCTTCTTCCTCCTCCTCCTCCTCCGGTGCTCGTGTGCGACGCGTGCGACGCCGCGAGCTCGCACGGGGAGTATTGGTGCGCCGACCACGCGGGCCTGCGCGGGGTATACTTCCATTTCCTGGACCGCTTCGGCTGCGAGGAGCTGGGGGCCCTGGAGCGCGCGCTGGAGGAGGCGCAGAGGAGGAAAAGGTACCCATACCTATACCCTTCGCTCGTGGGCCTCATTTACCTATACCCATACCCTTACCTACCTATACCCATACCAAAACCAGACCTATACCCTTTTTGGGCCTCCTGGGTGGACCTCGTCGCCACCGCTGGATTCGCTTCGAAATTCTGATCAGAACGCACCCCAGGAGAGGTCCAGGGAGTAGTGGTATCGGTACAGTCAACAATGATAGTAAGGATGGGCAGCCTTCCCAAGGGTACCCTTGCATCCTCGCCTCTTCGATCCATCCTTCGCCGCTTTCGCTTGCCGCGCCCCGCTCGAAAAGCTTCGAAATGGGCGTCCAAGGCCCTTGCATCCTTATGGCGCATCCTTACCATCCTGGTTGACTGTACCTTTTGGTTTCCCCAGAGGCGCTGGCGTCCCAGGAGGTGGGCGCCAAGGGGAAGAACAGGCGAGCCACCCTGCGGAAGAAGCTGGCGCAGGCGCTGGGCTCCTCCCCTCCTCTCCCTCCTCTCCTCCCTCCTCTCCCTCCTCCCCTCCTCGTCCCCTCCTCCTCCCTCCTCTCCACCTCCCCTCCTCTCCCTCCTCTCCTCCTCCCTCTTCTCCTCCCCTCCTCCCCTCCTTCTCTGTCCTCTGTCCTCTGCCCTCCTCCTCGTCCTCCTCTGTCCTTCCCTCCCGCCTTCCCCCCGCCCTCCTCTCCTTCGTCCGCCTCCTCCTCCTCGGCTTCACGCTCTCTTGCGCCCGCGATCCTCCTCCTCTCCTCACGAGTCTCTCAGTGCGTCCATATCCTAGAGAGGCGCTAGCATCTTGAAACAAATGGATGAAGCAAATAGACAGGCAGTATAATTCTATATAATGGTAGTGAGCCGCACAAAGTTGTAAGTGACACGAGGACGGTATCATGCCAATGCGCGCAAGCACCGTGCCTGCAGCCTAGCGCCCCCTTCCCCCCTCCCTCTACTCATCTGTGCTGTGGGCCCCGCCCTGCCGGCGTTGCCTTGACAGGGCCAGCCCGTCCCAACGGAAAGGATATGTGTTGGCTTGCGCTTCTTCTCGTGTGCGAAGGCACGAGAGCACGATGTGACTGATTGTGATAGCAATGCAGACAATATTTGACGAAAAATCATCACCGATCTTTCTCCTGCCGCTCCCAGTTGATTAATCGCTTCGCTCATTCCGCCAGCCCGTATTGTGCCATCGCAGGCGTTTGCCTCTTGGGGCCTCTTGGGGGTCGTTTGGGAGCATCTTGGGGCCTCTTGGGGGCCTCTTGGGAGCCTCCGGGGGGCCTCCTGGGCTCTCTTGGCGGCGACTCTCTTGGGCGATCTTAGGCGCCTTCGGGGCCGTCTTGAGGCCCTCTTGGGAACCTCTCGGGCCGTCTTGGGGCGGTCCTGGGGGCCTCGTCTGGGGCCATTTTGGAGCGTCGGAAGCCCGCAAACGCTAGAACGCGAAAAACATATGAAAATTCACTGCAAATCAATGATTGTTGCTTCTTCTGGCCATCTTTGGGGTCCTCTTGGAGCGCTCTTGGGGCTTTCTTGGGGCCCCTTGGGCCGTCTTTGGGCCATCTTGGGCGTCTTGGAGCGCTCTTGGGCCTTGATTTCGATTCGTGGGCACTGTTAGAGCTGCCTTGAGGTTCCTTAGGCCGTTCCTGGGGCGATCTGGAGGGCCCAGCAAGCTGCCCCTGGGAGTTCTGGCATCCTTGAACCGAATTTGCCGGGAGTCGGCCGGGGTATTTCTCGTCTGGGGACCCCGAGGGGCCGCCCCGCGCGCGCGCGAACTAGATACACATATCCAGTAACTGGAGACCTGAGCACGCCTCTGACCCGATGGGCCGGCGAGTTATCGGAGGACGCTTTCAGCATCCCCCCTATCCTCCCTTCTCCCTCCCTCCCACCTCGTCGGCCCCGGCCCCGCCTTCAGGTGCAGGAGGCGGCGGCGGAGCTGCGCCGGACGGGCCTGCCCCCCAGCAAGCCGGGGCGGCGCTGCCGCGCGTGCGCACGGGCCTATGCCGAGTGCCCGGGGGAGTGCTGGGGCTTCTGGAAGCGACCAGCGCCGCTGGTGTGGGACGCGCCCATCGGGAGAGGGAGACTGGCTGCTGGGCGCACGCAGAGGGGCGGT